ATCATCAGACTAATATGACTGTCAAATTTAGAAGAGAGATGGTTATATATACTAAGTTGAAACAGAGAAGAACGAAAGCACTAGAAAACAGAGAACAAAAAAAGCTAGCCTACAATAATATTTTATTAAAGACAATGATATTCGATTAGACAGGCTAGAAAAATAACAGTCCAGAATAGAAAAAAAGTAACAGTTACTCAGTTCTCTACTACATATTTTTCTACTTTAAGTTTTTCTAGTACTTTCGTTCTCCCCTGTTTCAACTAATATATACAACCATCTCTCTTCTAAATTCGACAGGGTCATACTAGTCTGATGATGATACTGCGAAGTACTGAAAGCTCGCTTTTTTATGTCAAATGATTTTACAAAAATATTTTTCAAGTATATTGAATATACTCAGTTTTATAAAAACTATAAAAAAAAGTCAAAGAATGTCAAAACACAGGAAAACTATTATAGTTAATTTTTTAAATAAACTTTATCATGTCGAGTGAATCTCCAAAAAATATAAAACAAAGAAAACAAAAAAAAAGAAGTAAGTCACAAGAAATCCTGCTGACTTCTTTTTTAATATCACATCTTGATGTTTCTCAATTTTAACATGTTTATTTAAATTACTTTTTCCTTCAACACGAACGGAAATGTTCGCATTGCAGTCTCATTATAACTAACTGTTAGTAAAAATTTTGACGATTTTGGATCTTTCCACCAGTCTTTAGTAAAAATATCTTCTTGATTTTCTTTTTTCTATTTTTATTTTCTTTTGTTTTCAACTGAATCTGATAAAATTTCATAGTGCAAACCGTTACATGACTATACTATCCGTTTACGAAACGACTTAATCTAAAAAATGTTAACAGATAGAAATAAACGGAATGTTGAGAGCAACTGCCGCAATTAAGGAACACTGTGGATCTGAACTATGCTAGTCTTTTGTTCGAACAGCAGTGCGTATGTAGGAAATTATCCAATTAAATCAATAACTCATAGAATGTAGATATGAATGTATTATGATTTGTAGTAGAGAAGCGATCTTCTGTAGTACAAATCAAACAAAAGTTAAAAATCAGAAGAATTGATAATCCTAACAATCGTGACGATTGAATCGTACATACAGGACTAATTATCTAGTATTTTTGTCACTCGATGAAAGAGACTAGAGAACATTTTCTCATAAAAAACAAACCTGAAAATGTTTTTGTCAAAATAAGGTATTAAAATGATGTTTGAAAAATACATTCCGATTTCGAAGATTTGAAATAGTAATATGTTTGTTTTTGTAACTGAAATGAGATTTCAAAATGTTTTGCAAAACATGAGAGGCGTTCATGCTCTTCATCTGCCATGATTTAGACGTAGCATCAGGTGAAGGATTGTTTTGAAAAACGGAAATATTAAAATACACTTGTTTTCTATGAAAGCTTTTAAATTTTTTTCCCATTTTATTTGTAACTTGATGTTGATTTTTTCCCATTTTCAGAAATCTAAGTAGATGCGCTGTATTGATATTATTAATATTATGGCTATGAAAAAATACAGATTACAAAATTTAAGATTAAACATTAATTTTGTGGTTGAATGGTGATGGTTGAAGTTTTTTGCCTGTAGAAAAGATGATAGATCAAAATGATTAATATTAATATTATTAAAACTAGAATGAACGATGTTAAAATAAGTAATACGACTGATCGATCGTGACCATATTTAGATTCCGTTTGATGGTGCCTTCTTAAACACACTGAATGTTGACGATCAAATAATGGACCTATACATGCGGCATAAGCAGCGTAATGTGCAATCATGACTTGTTCCATCGTACCTTGAAACAAATGACTCCATGATCCTTGTGCATAAACCGGAATATCTTCACCGCCATGGCTACCTTGTCGAAGAGGAGTTGCTGCTGGATATTCAAAACGCGGTAGATGAATCGAATTCATAGATGAACGATTTGCATAATTCGGACCATTTCCATAAGATATAATGGAAAATGTTTTATTATCAATATCCGAACGATTCATACCCTCATAATACGATGCATATCCAAATATATCTGAACCACGATAACCATAACCACCTAAAAGGAAGTGAAGTTGATGCTAATATGTTATAAAAAAAATACATACCAAATGAGAATGTGTGTGAATGATCGGCTGTGACAATGATCAATGTTTCATTTTCATTTGATTGTTTTGTTGCTTGTTCTATCGTTCGATCAAAATCGACTACCTCTTCGATGGCTAAACGTGCAAATGTTTTGTGATGCATTACATCAATCAGACCACCCTCGACAAATAGAAAATATCCACGAGGATTTTTTGATAATATTTTGATAGCTACATTGGTCATTTCTTCTAATGTTGGCTCATCGGGATATTTTCGTTTTTCACTATCGACATGCATATATTCGGGTGCAAATAAACCGAGTACATAATCAACTTTATCCGGATTTAATTCTAACAATTGCTTGCGCGTTTGAACATATTTATGTGATTGTTTACTCTCATTTTTCAATTGCAACCATTTATCAATTAAATTCAAATTGTCTAATCGTTCACCATCTTTTGTCGTATTGGGCAAAAATTTTTGTCGACCACCACCGAGTAAAACATGAAAATGAGAGTTATCTTCTATTAATTGACGAGCAATATCTTTACAACCTTCACGAAATTGTTTTGCACCATAGCCACGAAAATTATGAGGATTATATGTTTGCCAAAAACGTGTAGAAACATGACCTACAAAGATAACAGACACATTATTGATTATATACTTTTCTCAGTTAATTTACCATAGGCCGCTGTAGGCGATGCATCAGTAATATGACTGTTTGTGACGATTCCAACCGATTTTCCAGCTGAATATGCCCAATCCGTCAGACAGGAAATATTATGGCCAAATGAACTCGTACAATTTGATGTTTGAACATGACCATCGAGACCAATAGTATTAAAACGAGCTTTGACACCACATAGATATGCGGTACCCGTACCAGCACTATCCTAAAACTCAAACAACTGAAAATAACTCCGTCCTTTTTCTTTATAAAATACTTACCGGTGTTTGATAATCAATATTATATGTTTTAACAAATCCCGTATAAGGAAATTGTTCAAAATGTAGCTGTTCATTTTCGCCCATTCGTCCAAAACGTTGTCCTTTTCGAATTCGTCCGGCAGTCACCGAGGCCAAACCCATTCCATCGCCGAGGAATAAAATGATATTTTTAGCTAAATTTGTATTTACTTGTTTTGCCAATGTTTTATCCAGTTGAGATAAAGCATGATCATACCAAAAATTGACAGATTTCTCAGATTCCCATAATACAGGAGTACACGATGATCTAATTGGTAATAGGAGTGTGGTGATTACTTGAAATAATGCCATATATCTTTGAAAAGAAAAGTAAATTTCATATGTAGAATAATTATACGATTCGAAGGCAGGTTTTTAATTATATTGTTTTATAGAAGTATGTCTGAATAAATTTTTTGAAACAGAAAGATGTTGTCTGATAGATTGGTTCATATCATTGGTCTCTATTTGTCAAAATATTTCTTTTTTTAATTAAAACTCTTTCTAAAATGCAAAGCTGAATCAGTAATGTCTAAATCCCAAAAATCCTGATGTTTCCTTTTCAAACGAGAATTTTACATACAACAAGAATGAGATTATTATCCCTGTGAAAACTTTAGCTTTTAGACGCATAAGAATTCTACTTAAATGAGTGAAAATTTTAGTATAATTAAAGAGAATTTAAACGAGAGTGAAATCTAAATCCTCATTATGATATCAATCTGAAAGATCTCGCATGTGAAACTCATGAAATTTAAATAACTCTTGGCCGAATTCAACAAAATTTCCAAAAATCGAAAAGTGAATATAGTATGATAAAGATTGAGACTTTTTCTCCGCAAAAACTGATAATATTGTCTTACAAAAAGTTTTTAGTACCTACTGGTGCACATGGCATGTCATCGGTTACTAGTACCGGTGCACAGACATGCGCAAAAAGTTGCCGATTGTCAACAAGATGACAGACAGCGCCGATATATTACATATATAGAAGCGAGATGTTAAATTTATGTAATTTCGTGTTTATGTAATTTTCTCTAAAAACGGGTTTTGTAACAAAAATCAACTTTCTGAGAAGTGGTTCTCTATTCTTTTTTGTTTCGTCTCTATCAATATAGATTATCTACGATTTTTATTGACATGCTTATTGTATCAGAAAATCAAAATTGATTAGCCATCATCGTTTGACATCTTGTCTAAGCAATAAAAGTTATCGATTTTTTCTTATTTTCTATTCTAAATCGAGATTTTCATTAAGGGTACCCCCCCGCACCTCCTCTTTTTGTAGAAAAGTTGTCATTTTGAGCTGAACATAGTCTAATGTAGAGGAAAGTCTGGGCTATAAAATGAGACTCCCAGCTCTCCATGACCTTCCTTGAAAAAAAATGATGAAATTTTTCCTTTCCAGCCCAGCCTAGAAAATCTCAATTTTTTAGGTTCCTAAATTTTTCTCTCCTTTCCTATATATTCAAAATTTTTTCTTATATATAGCATGATAGAAGAAAGTGTGCTCTTCAAAATGAGATATTTTTCAGAACTTCTGATGAGTTCTTAGAGATATAAGCATAGCCGCAAATGCCCTGAAAAACAGAGCCGTGTGTACAATGTGTTTTTCTCACTATGCGTTTTTCAATAGTTCCTTCAATTGTCACATACGACCCCTCGAAAAACTGGTCCGATCGAGCTCAAAATTTTACCACAGATACTTCAGACCCTATCTCAGATTCGTTTATTTTTAAAAGCGTTTTCGACTTCAACTTTCGGCGTGAGAAGGTTTTCAAAATGAAAAACCGTTTTTTTATACGGGATTTTCAGTATTTTTCGGATATCTCGAAAAGGAAAGAATATGTTTCGAAAAGAAAAAAACTAACCTGAGATAGGATCTGAAGTATTTGTGGTAAAATTTTGAGCTCGATCATACCATTTTTTCGGGGAGTCGTAATGTGTTCCAATAAAAACTGGAGTTTTCCAGAAAAACCATAGAAGAATACGTCAGAAAATTCTTGGCAAAAATACATTGATTTTCTTTTTCGATGTTTTATCTCTGGTATAAATTAGAACCCGATCCGATATCGGCTTCCCTAGTTTCCAAGAGGGTAAAAAAAAGAGGGGGGCGGTACCCTTAAGAGATAAAACATAAACATACACTATCAAAATAGTAACTCTCCACACGTTACTATATACGTTTGTCAATCACTCGTTAATTAGCTTATTTTTAGACTTACCGCATGTATGACGTTGATATCTTTAAAACATTTGAACTGTAATAATATTAAAGTACTAGAAATATCTCGCATTTAAAATATTGCAGCCAATTGTATCTCCTCGTGTATGATTAAAAAAGCCAAAAGAAGAAACATAAACAAGAGTAACGAGCTGATGATGAGAATTTCATAGAGAGGAGAAATCGGTGTCTGATACAAATTTATAAAAACATTTCTCGACGATTTATCAAACAAATAGAATAAAAAGTCGTTTTCTTGTTCAAAATCGTATTTGTCGAAGCTTTGTGTTAAGGGCACGACGCCTTCTTTTCCAGACCTGAAAATTTTTTCCCGGGTGAGTTTCTCAAGAACGGCTCGACCAAAATATCTGAAACTTTCAGAGTAGATAGATCTCGAGTAGCAGAGCAAAAGTTGTCATAGACTCAGAATTCCCGGATGCTTCCTTCTATAAGAAATAGGGGACGCAAGGGTCAAAAATGACCTGAAGTCCCGCAAACATCCAGAATT